GTTATTATGGTAGTAGTAGTAGTAGTAGTAGTAGTAGTAGTAGTAGTAGTAGTAGTAGTAGTAGTAGTAGTAGTAGTAGTAGCAGTAGCAGTAGCAGTAGCAGTATACAGGTGAACCTACCCAAGACGACCATCCAATGTCCAGGAGAAAAGTGGTTATTTTAGATATATATGGTCCTCTTGGATAGTGGCATTGCATTGAAATTATAACGCAAGTGGGGGATTGGGGGTGAGGAACGGTTGCTTGTACAGGTGACCGTCTTGGACCGGTGTTCGCTAGAGCTGGTTCGGCTCTAAATACACCCTTATGCAGTTGCGATCACCGTAAAACCCTCTACTAAACCCCCCCCCCCCCCCCCAAAAAAAAAAAACAAAAAAAAACAACCAACAAACAACCCACGTCACGTCGGAAGTCTTGTGGTAAGGCTACCGGACTTGTAAACATCAGATATCGGGTTCGGGGGTTCGAGCACCAGCTTAGTCCTGTGTTGTGTCCTTGGGAAAAGAACTTTCTACGAATTTCCCGCTCGGTCCTTTCGGAGATAGACTTTAACCTCGTAAGTCTCGCCTCTTGAATAATTTAATGATGTTGATAGGGACTTTCAGTATATTATACAATTTTCTCATTTTCACAGACACTAGTTTATAATCATTAACTCACGTTTTATTTAAAGTAGGCCTATTTGAAATTATCAATAAATGAACATTAACAGCAAGAAAACCACTAGTGTATATTAAGTGCGCGTGTGTGTGTGTGTGTGTGCTTTCAGATCAACGCCATACAGCGGGAGATGGATGCCAGCACCAGCCACTCCAAGGAGAGGAAGAACGTCTTCCAGCGGAACAGGAAGCGACCGGATCTCGTTCAAGGTCACACGGAAAGTGAATGTCGCCGGCCGGAACTGGAAGAGCAAGTGAAGTCGTTGTCCTCACGGTTACAGGAGCTAGACACGCGCATTACGTCACACGGCGCTGCGGGACCTCGGGATGCGGAGATGTCGGACCTAATGGCGTCACAGCACACGACGTGGGGTGTCACGGCTGGAGGAGGAGGAGGTGGAAGAGGAGGAGGAGGTGGAGTAGGCAAGTCGTGGTCTGAGGAAGGGCACGATTGTGACAGTGACCGAGATCGGGACTCGGATAAAGAGAAAGGTGGAGGGAAAAGCAGCAGCTTGAAGTTCAGTGTTCAGAAGTTTGCGCACCGCACTTTCGCAAAGGCTAACTGGAACTGGTATAAAAAGAGCGCCGGCCAGTCAGAGGATCAGGACAGTAACAACAGCACCAACAGCAGCAGCAGCAGCAGGACTAAGGTCCTCTTCGCCCACAGCAAATCGGAACCGCCTCCCGATGTGATTGACATGACGTCGAATAACAACAACAACCAATCAAATCGCAAGCTGGTCCATTCGTCCATTGACACTAGTGATATTTACGCCCCACCTGATTCTTTCAAGACGGACTACTCAGCCTTGTCACTCACACTACCCAACCCTAAAAAGAGCGGAACTGCCAGGACTCCTAAAGAGCGAATCTTGTCCAAAATTTCTTCCTCTCATTCGTTCACTCATTTGGAGAGATTCTCCTCCAGGTTAAAATCCTCGTCGTCGTCTCCTTCTCTTGACAAGCTGGCTTCGGAACCAGACAAAGACAAAACTGACGACTTGTCGCTCGCTCGCGTTGATGGATTAGCCCTGGGGGCGGGGCTAAGTAATGGCGACTTGGTTGAAAGCCGTGTCAGCGGGACATGCTCCGCCCCCTCTAGTGCGAGGGGCGGGGCTAAGAGTCCACGATCGTCAGGGCTGCTGTCCTCGCCCAGGAGGGAAGTAAACCCCAACGCTCTGGCTGAGATACAGGTGAGGATAAATGGGGGTTTTTAAAAATTGTTTTTGTTTGTTTGTTTGTTTTTCATTTGTTTGGT